AGGAAGAACTCTAAGTATCTGGTGTATCCGTACAAGGGGCAGTAACGAGGATCATACTGGAAATTAAGGAATATACAGCATCATGTACAGCCAGTCCAGGGAATGACATGTCATGCAAAAACAACAGCACCACAGTACAGTCCTGTGCTGCCATCCTATGTATTCGTGTGCGTCCAGTCCTATGTCTGCCACGGGTACCAGTCTGGAGAGTCATGTAACGTGAAAGGAGAGAATCAGCTGTTCATTTTAACATAGACGACACCATGGGTGACTGAACAGGCGTTATTTACACCCAGAGCTCTCCTTTACACGACTCTAGCACGTTTCCCGTCAAACGACTTGTTTTAGTGCCTTTACACAGAAGAGGGCAATTGTGACTGTGATTGCACAGAGCATGAATAGCAGAGAGCTGAAAAGGCATCACAGTCCTTTCAGGGAATGCGTTCCTCCAGTCCTCCTCAAGAGCGCCCTCGGCATCACGCTCCCATCCCACATTATTTCAAAGCCCCTGCCTCAGTCCCTGCCCCCACACCGCGCTCCTGCCAGCCCCGCCCTAGCCCTGCCTCCAGCCGGGCTGTGGTTTCCCTCGTGCCTGGAGACCCGCCACAACCCCGCCCACCCCCAGGCCATGACCCCGCACCCCGACCTGGTGCGGAGGGCAGTGCCGCCCACCTGCGACCCTGCCCAGGGCTGGGATCGGGGCGAGGGGCCCCGGTGCTGCCAGCTCTCAGGGGCTCAGGGCCCCAGCACCAGGCTGTGGGGGGGCTTCAGGGTCCCCCCAACCCAGCTCTGGGGGTGTATTGGGGTCCCCGATGCTGCCAGCTCTGGGGGGTCTTGGGGTCCCCCTGCACACAGGACCGTGGGGGTCTTGAGGTCCCTAATACTGCCAGCTCTGGGGGTCTCAGGGTCCCCAGCATGCGGCTCTGGGGGGGTGTCGGGTGCCCCGGTGCTGTGTGTGTCCATGTGTAGAGAATGAATAGAGTGCATGACCATCTGCATGTGTCTTCACATGCGTGCATGCACACATTTGTGTTCATGGCATGAACAACGCGTGCCCCCAGCAGCTGGGGGGCACGGCGGTAGCAGGAGAGGCAGAAGTGCAGTGGCTGTCAGTGGTGGGAGGGGGTGGAGGGGTGCAAGCGCCAACCAAGGATCGGCGACCACCCACAGCTGCTGCCGGCAGTGTCAGCAGTGCCTTTTTGTAGGGGCTGCACCAGCACACTTAGGGGGTGTACGTGCACCCGTGTGAACCCCCTACGCGTCACCCCTGGTTCATGGCAGGGAAAGTGTCTTTTTGTGTGTCCATGTGCAGCGTGTGAGTGAGTAGAGTGCGTGCCTATCTGCATGTGTGTGTGCACGTGTGCGTGTGTGTGTCTGCATGCATCTGTGCATGCATGCATGTGTTTGGGTGAGCCCTGTGGGTGCCCTGTCCCTGACCATTTACATGGCCCCATGCAGCAGGAGCTCCGAAAGATGCTTGCACGAGGGGTAACAGTCCCGGCCTGGGCTCTGTGGCAAAGCCTGGCGGGCCCTTACGCCTCAGTGTAGGTTTCAGAGGGGTAAATGCCACTTTCGATGCCTTCCCTATGTCCCAGCTTTTAGAAAGGATAAGACAAGCCCACTACGTAACGACGCTTGATCTGTCCCAAGAGTACTGGCCATTACCCACGGCCACAAAAGACCATGCCAAAACTGCTTTTGGGACCCCCTGGGGCCGATATGAATTTCACAGAATGCCCTTCAGGCTGCACAGGGCGGCCGCCCCTTCCAAAGACCGATGAACCGAGCTTTGGCCTTACATGTGAGGTATACATAGGCGATGTTGTCAGATGCACCAGAACTTGGGATCAGCATCTGAGAGGGTGGACGGCTGGACTTACACAACTGAGGGAGCTTGGGCTGGCGGCCAAGCCAAGAAAAGGTGCAGGAGGAAGATGGGAATCCAAGTACCTGGGAGTCCTAGGAGGGCATGGGACCACCAAGCCTTTGGCAGACAAAATCCAGGCTATGCGAGATTTTGCACCGCCCAAAACCAAAGAGCAGATGAGATCCTTCCTGCGCCTGGCTCATTATTATCAAGGGTTCATTCCTCACTGGGCACAATGGTTGAGTGCAAGCAGAGGCACGTGAGAGGCTGTGACATGGGTCCTGTGAGGAGCGACGCCTTTGTGAACATCCAGAAGGCCTCATATCATCATGATGTCTTGCTTGGTGCAGGGAGCGGTGACCCCCAGCATGCCACACCACGGCACGGCACGGCACGCCACGCCACGCCATGCCATGCCATGCCACGGCAGGACCAGCTTCTGGAGCCTGGGCTACTCCCAGCAGACGGCTGCACACCTGCGGCAAGCAGCCGTGCCCCGTGGTTAGCACCAGTTCCCCAGAGCCCGGCCGGTTGCAGGGTCCCAGTGGAAGATGCAGGCGGCACTGCAGGCAGGAGCGGGCAGGCTCAAGGCCCTGTTGTGGAAGGATCGTGGTGGCGGAGCGGGGCGGTTGGGCGGGAGCCAGGGAGGGGATGCGTTGGGCCCAGCCCCACAGGGCAGGAGCGGGAGCCCCGACGGGCTGGCGGTGTCCCTGCGAGGCCCGCGATGCCCAGCGGAGACCCGGGCACTGGTGGGGACAGGGCTCTGCCCGTTCCTCCAGTCATTGCACAGGCAAGATTTGCATATGCATATGTGACATGAGCGGGCCACTCTGCCGTTGGAGGCTGTGGGGGAGGGGGTGGGGAAGAAGCATGACCTTGCCCCTCCGCGACTGCAAAGCACCCTGGGAAGGGCCAGGAGGCCCTGCCCGCCCGGGAAGCCATGGCCACGTGGGCAGGTCGGGTGCCCTTACCTGCAGCAGGGAGCTGCTCTCCGGGCGTCCCAGCATCCTGCATGTGCCCTGGTGGCCCCGCATCTCACCCGCGGCACCCCCTTGCCGGCCTGGCCGCTGCCCACCTGTAGGTCCCCGACCCCTCCAGATCCTGTGAGTCTGGGAGACGTGCTGCCCTGGGCTTGTGTGTCCTGGGTCAGGGCTTAAGGTCCCCATGCAGCGACTGTCCCGCCCGGTTAGGGACGGGTGGTCACCTGTCCTGCAGGGACAGGCACGGAGCTGGGCTTGCACCCTTTCTGCAGCTAGTCTGGTCCTGGGAGCCGGTGCTAGGGCTGCAGGGAAGGGAGAACGGCTCCGAGACTGCTGGGAGTGGGGGCAGTCGGCGGTGTCGGGGCTGGGCAGACCTCAGGCTGGGGCAGGGTCCCAGTCCCGGGTCTCCGATCCATGGTCTGATTTGTGCTGTCACCTTTCCCACAGGTGCACCACGCACTAGACGCTGCCAACGGGCGCCGTGTGTGAGTGCAGGGACAGCGAGAGCCCGGGCCCCCGTCTAGGTGAGATCCCTCCTGGGGAGACGTGGCTGCTGCGCTGGAGCCCGTGGCAGTAGATCTGCAGGCAGGAGCTGAGGGTGCACAAGTCCCTCATGTCGTGCAGACTGGGACTGGGGGCAGGAGTCCCCGAGGTGGTCGGTACCACAGCCGGTAAACCAGCAGCTGCAGGAGGAACTGGTCCAGCACCAAGAGCTGTTGGGGCAGGACATGATGCAGGCCATGCAGCCCCCTTGTGAAGCCAGGCTGCCCTCCGCGACCCTACAGCTGGCACCGCAGGATGAGCTCCCACCCCAGAGCCCTGGCACCAGCTCTTCCGTGGCCTCTGCTACCCAGAAGCCAAGGGCCCACAGAAGATTTGCAGCCAACTGAGGGAGCTCTGCCTGTGCTGGCTGGAGCCCCAGCGCCGCAGCAAGGAGCAGATCCACAGTCTTTATGGGCTTCCTTGCTCCTGCCTTGGCCAGTATGAGCAGTGTCTAGTTGTGGACAATTCATTGCAGTCTCAGTCACAAGCTCAAACGTGTCTGTGCTCAGAGGGCAATCCCAGCATGTCTTAGCCCTGGAGCTCAGGGGACAGGACTCCTTAGGGCCGGGAACAGCGGAGGGTGTGTGACCATTGAGCCGCCCTGCCCGAGACTTCAGATTGCTTATGGGCAGGAAATGCCAATGCCCCGTATCCAGCGTGCAGCATTTTGCAAATGCCTTACGTTTGCAACTTTCCTCTAAATATCTTCTGATTGAAATGTGAAAAGGGAAAACTCCTGGTAGTAAAAATGATTTCAAATAAAAAAAAACACTAAAACAAACGGGTTTTTGTTTTAAAATCAAAGATTCCAACGTGAGCAACACGCAATGTTTCAGTGAAGAGCTAGACTTCAAAAAACATACCACCCAAGTGAATATACTAGACTAGATCTTTTACTTTGGTTCAACATGAAAATGTTTACTTGGAAATATCACAGCTTTAGTATTTAAACACAAAGCACTTTTTTTTCTTTAAACGACACCGCCTTTCCCAGGACGAAGGGGCAGCTACGCGCTGTAAGTAGTAGGTGTTTAGGAGCGCTTGTACATGTGACACGGTTTAATCCTCATGAAATTAAACCAGTTTATTACATTTAAAATGACTTGTTTTAAATCGACGCATCTGTGTTTACAGTGTACAATTCACATTACATTATAGCGGGGGGACCACATAACAACCCACCCTGCTGATGTTTTTGGTACTCGATTAGAGCCGGGGGCGCTGTCGACCCAGCAATCCCTGAGCCAGCGGGGGCAAGCACTGTCCGCCCGCTGCAAGGGACCCTCCAGGCATGCTCTACGCCCACCCATGCCTGCAGCCCCTGCCCAGCTCTAGCCCCAGTTTCTCCTCACACCCCTACTGCACCCTCAGCCCATGCAGCCCCCCTCCATCCCACCACGTGCCTTGCCCTGTGCCTGCACCGCAGCTTCCCCCACCCGCCCGTATAGGTGCCCTGCACCTTGCAATGCCCCAGCCCCACCCGGCCTGTCTGCATGTGTGCATGCATGTGTCTGTGTGTGCATGCGTGTGTCTGTTCATGGAGGGAGGGAGAGTGTGTTTGTGTCCATGTGCATGTGTGTGTCTGTGTTTATGGCAGGAGGGAGAGTGTATTTGTGTCTGTGACCATGTGCAGAGTGACACAGACCCACACACACACACACACACACAGACCCAGACCTAGACCCACATAGACAGATCCACACACGCACAGACACACACTTGCCCCTCACAGGACCTTCCCCCTCCCCCACTCTCGATCACACGGAGGCAGCCCCCTGCCCTCCCTCCCCCTGCGCCCCCATCCCTTGCCACGAGCCCGTTACACTGACCTGCAGGGAGCTGCAGCCCGGCTGTCCCGTGCAGCCAGGCAGATGTGCCATGTCTCTGCGGGCGGGCGGCAGCACCGGGACGGGGGGCTAGGATGAATTTTTTAGGGCTACAGCTCTCAAGACCCTCCTAGTACCACTGCCCGCAAAGGTGGGGGTACAGGTGTCCGTACAGGCGAACAAAGATTGATTCATGTTGGGCTGGGTGGACCGCATCATCTGGTGTGCAACGCAACACGTCCGCAGGAATACATTACACCCAGTTACCGAAAAAGTGCAGGTATCCTCTTCCCCGACAATCTCCAATTTTGGAGAGACATCTGGGGGACAAAGGGGTGAACTACACAAAAGTTGCAGCACCGTCTGGGGGACAAAGGGGCTCATTACAAGCCTTTGAGTGCATTTCTGTTTTCACGTGATGAATCCATGGACGCATCGGAATAAATTCCTGGAGATCCAAACTAAAATACATCAGAATGCGTTTTACTTTAAATCGCCAAAAAGACTTTTAAATCACCAGAAAAATCCACACGTGCAAACTGTAATGCCGTTAAATTGGCAAAAAAAGGGCAAATTTCATCATGGGAATGAGCATCCTAAGAAAGAGAGCTAGGCTGGGGCGTTCTTCAAGGGGGAGGTCTGTTTTTATGCTGGTTCTCAACTTCCTTTTTGACCTTGTTTTGCTCTCCTGGTCTCTTTTCTACATTATTTCATTATCCAATGATTAGCTGCTCTGAGCCTTTGTAGGAAAAGTAGCCTCGTTAATGCCAAGTGGCCAGGGCGCCCTACTGTGTAGCGCCCAGTGCCAGAATGGCGCAGGTACAAGGGCCGGAGGGCCCAGTGCCAGAGGGGTACAACAGAGAGGGATGTGAAAGGGACCCAGCTTCGGGCTTGGAAAGGGCTCAGTGAGTCAACCGTTGGTATTATATCTGCGAAGCATGGGGCATGGTAAAGGGGAGGATTTGGAGCCACGCAATTATCCCATGAGGCTCAAGGCACCGTCTGGGAACGGGGCCCAATGAGCCAGTGTGGTCTAGCAGGGTTTAGTGGGACGGGGAACTGTGCAAAGTCTTGTGGGCATCCTCCCTATTTATCACTTTACCAACAAGGTGTGGCGGGAAAAATAAGGCACCCTCAGTAGAAAGTAGAGCTGTCCCTGTCATGGGGCACCAGGGAATGTCATGGCCAACCCTAGGACCCCCACTTGCCAAACTGGTCTGAAATTTTCCTTCTAAAACTTCTTTAATCCCAGCTGCTTCTGTGCCATGGCCCTCACACAGGCCACTAAGGGCTTGGAGCTTGCATGTGGGATGCCTGCCATGGATTTGGGAGTATCTGAGGCCCCAGGCTGAAGAGTCTGGGAGGGAGGAGATTTGGCAGGGGCAGGGGTAGCAGCACGCACACTTGAATGACTGAGCTGTGCTCTGCTGATAGAATTTGGAAATGGTTTGGCTGATTTGGCCTGAGACAAGAACGTTTAAAAAATAAATTAATAATAATAAAAATACCCCCACCTCAGCTAAGCTTTGGGTCAGGGGCAGTGTTGCTGAGGTTTTTTCCCCTGCCCAAGGGGAGCCTTTCCCTCCCTCATAAGCATGCAGAGCTGCTAGTGAGATCAGCTAACATCAGTGTGGGTGTGTCTACATGTGCAATTAATGTGCACAAAAAAATCCAGGGCTTATTGCTCCAGTGTGTTTTTGCTCCTGGGCATGCTGTGTAAAATGCACACCCTGGAGCAATAAACTCCAGGGTATGTTGTCCTGGGGCTTATTCCTGCACAGCACACTGAGCTCGGTCACAACAGCCCTGGCTGGCAGCAGCCCATGGTTGCTCCGACCCTGTTGCAACGCGCTGCAGAAGGGCTGGGCCGGGCATGAGTGTGCTTCATTGCAGGGCTAGCTGGCAGCCGGCCGCAGCACAGAGGCACCTTCATGCCCAGCCAACTGGGCAGCGGGAAATCCCTCCTGGGGAGATGTGGCTGCTGCACTGGAGCCTGTGCCAGCTGTGTGCCTTCCCTTCACGGCGGGAGCTGGAGGAGCAGGACCCAGGACGTCTGCAGGCAGGGGCTGAGGGTGCAGCAGTCCCTCGTGTCGTTCAGATCAGAGCTGGTCCAGCATCAAGAGCTTTGGGGGCAGGACGCGATACAAGCCATGCAGCCCCCTTGTGAGGCTGAGCTGCCCTCCGAGAACTCACAGCTGGTGCCGTGGGATGAGCTCCCACCCCAGAGCCCTGGAGCCAGCTCTTCTGTGGCCTGCGCTACTGGGAAGCCGAGGGCCCACGGAGGATTTGCAGCCGCCTGCGGGAGCTCTGCCCGCGCTGGCTGGAGCCCCAGCGCCGCAGCAAGGAGCAGATCCCGGAGCTGGTGGTGCTGGAGCAGTTCCTGGCCATACACGAGAAGATGCATGCCTGGGGTGGCAGGTGCCGCGTGGAGACCTGCGCCCAGGCCATAGCCCTGGCCGAGGGGTTTCAGCTGGCGCAGGCGGAGGACGAGAAGCTCCAGGTGAGAGCGTTTGTTTGGTGCCATCTGCACCTCCACGTGTCTGGGGGCTGTTCCCTCCCAGATCCAGCTCCCCAGTGACACATTTATCTCGTCCCCAGGTCACCGTGCGTGTGAAGGTGGAGGAGCTGTCCTCAGACAAGATGCAGCCCACTGGGGCCCTGCCGGAGCCTGGTGATTCCTGGGCAGCAGCCAAAGGCCCATCGCGGGGACAGGCCTCTGGCAAAGGCAGGAGAGAGAGAAACCCCAGGGCCCGAGGACGAGCTGCCTCATGTCACCAAAGAGGAGCCCCCACCCAGCCCGGGGCCAGGTCCTTACCAGCCTTGTTGATGTACAAGGTTACCATGGGCTCGACACCTAAGGAGCAACAGTTACCTCCCTCCACCCCCTGCTATTATTAGTGTTGGCTACTGGGTTTAGGCCAGTTGATTTTGGGGGACAGCTAAATAGAAAACAGGGATGGGAGTGAGGATGCAGGCTCCAAACAAGTGCTGCCAATGGGGACAGCGAGCGGAGCAGAGCGGACAGTAGCCGGTGGCTCTTGAATGAGACCAAGGAGCCAGGGGCAGGTGAGGTGTGGGATGAAGTCCTGGCGTGCAGTTAGGAGCCTGAGCGGCTGTCCTGCAGGTGGGGTGAGAGACTCCAATGCCTGCCCCTGCCCGGGACAGGGCTGCAAAGTGTGTAACTGTGGCTGGGGTGGGACAGGGCTCTGGTCCCTATGGGTGGTCCGAGGCCCAGGATCTTTCTCACTGCCTGCACCGCTCCTCACAGAAAGATGCTTCACATGACTGGCTCTGGCCGTGCTGTCACGGTCACAATCAGTGATCTGATTGTAATCATATCAATCAATAAGAGGCTGGTGCAGGTGATGAGGAAATGAGAGTCCCCAGTGGCCTCTGGCTGGTCCAGGTGCAGTTAACCCAGACCTCTGTCCTGCTGCAGATCCCCGGGACAGGGGAGACCTGGGAGCTGTGGACACGTGGAGGGTCCTCAGGCAGGTGCCCCGGATCAGGCCCTTCCCCAGCCGAGGTGAGGAGTGGTGGGTCTCCCCTTTCCAGTGGCAGGAAGCCTCGTCCCCCAGTGCAGAAATCTCTCTGCCAGAACAGTTTGATGGGTCCATGCTCCAGCAGGTCGACTCTTGTTCTCCCGGTGCCCCTGGAAGCATTTCATGCGTCCTGGAGTAGGCTGGCCCTGCATTTCCCCCCGTCCCGCCCCAACGTGTGGATGTGACACAGCACCAGCATCCCTCCAGATCCTTTCCCCGGGAGCGATGTCACGGTGCTGTGATCACCACCGGCACTGGGACAGTTCTAGGGGCTTATCTTCAGCCTCTTGCTGGTGGGATGATGAGTCTCCCTTGTTCCCCCTCTTCCACACACCGAAGCCTCCAGCTGCCTTCATCCCAGGCTAGTCCAGGAGATTAGCAGGGCTTTCCCCGTGCCACCACCCCAGAGCTAACCTATACACTCTCTTCCCACCCGCAGGTGCCGGGACCCTGAGCAGAGCGGATCAGCAGCCTCCCGAGGAAGGACCTGTAAGCCTGGAGCTGCAGAGACCATCCCCAGGGAGATGGGGACAGAGTGGCTCCCTGACCCCTGGACCAGGCCAGCTGCAGAAGGGGCAGGGCAGGCCTGCAAGGCAGGGGGAGAGCATGGAGGTGAGTAGGGCACTAGCTCCAGGTGGGGGTGGGAGTGCAGCTGGGGCAGAGCCCAGGAGGAGCCAGGGGAGTTTGGGGAGCAGAGAGCCCTGAAGAGTGAGAAGTCTCTGGTGATGGAGATTGCAAACAGCCCAGGCTGCATTAGCAGCAGCGCGCTCCCGGGAGCACAGAGCCAGCGGTGCTGGCATGGGAAGGCCTGGTCAGAGTCCAGCCAGCCAGCACCAGGAAGCCTGGCGCAATGGTCTCTACAGCTGAGCCCAGCAAGTCCTCTCCTGCCTGGCTAGGACTGGGGAGCACAGAGCGTCTCTGCCGCCGATGCCAGCAGGGTCCCCCCAGCCCATCAGTTTGGTAGGAGTGAGCAGCACACCTGGCTGCTGATTATCTGTGTTAGTGTGAGGTGAGGCAGAAGCCAGGCTGGATTTGCAGCTTACAAACCAACTGAATCAGAGGCACAGCAAAGGGCTTTTCGATTCCCCGCGCATTTCATAAGTTGGAATTGAAGGATACACACAGACCAGGCTATGAAATAGAGAGTCTGTTGAATACCAAGTCTAGGGGGGCAGCGTGGTGGGAAGGGGGACAGTGCTGAGAGAGGGGATGTAAATAAAGACCCCCCCCACACAAAGGGGACACCACAGCTAATCTAGTTAATTGGATAAGAAGCCAGTGTCCCTGTTTGGACCGTGCTTAACACAGCCCAGCCTGCAGATGATTTCTGCTTGTACAACTGCACATTCAGGTTTGTTTTGAAGTGTTTGGTCTAAGGACAGCTGCTCTGAGGTCAGCACTGGGAAGTCCAGGGAGGTGAAGGTGTCCTGCCACAAGCCTTTCCATCTTCCTGGACCAGATGTCACCAGCATGGCCAGGGGGCTGTGGGGGGGAGTGTGGGGCACCAGCAGGGGTGGGGCGCAGGCTATGGGTTGGGAGCAATTTTTTCTTTTATGAGAGAGTTTGCAGTTTTTAAACAGACAAAACCAGGATCCCTGCATATCATGTGCCAGCTGAGTAGTGTACTCCTGCCTGTCATGGCTAAGCTTGCAAAGTGCTGTAGTGCAGACAGCCGTGGGGGCTGGGGGCAGCTGGGGCAGGAGACACTGATGCTGTAACGCTTGTGCCTGCAGGTCCGGGAGGTGTTTGAGGACGTGGCAGTGTATTTCACATGGGAGGAGTGGGAGCTGCTGGAAGAGGAAGACAAGGGGCTTTTCCAGGACCAGATGCTGAGGAACCACCAAGCCCTCGTTTGCCTGGGTAAAGCTCTGGTTCTTGCTTTGCCCAGGAGCCGTGTGAGCTCTGAAGTGGTGTTATCTTCTCCCTGGTTTTAACAGTCTCATCCTCATGAACTTTTGGCCAGTGGCTTAAATCCCTTTGCTCCCCACCGCTCTCTCCATGATCAGACTTCTCACATTTCACACTTGTATATATTCCTCCTTCATTTGATCCAGCGCCTTCCTTGGAGTCTTCCTCCTTGCTAACATGATTTCCCTTTGCCTTCTCACCGTGATCATGTCATTTGCCATTCATTGGGCCCAAAAATGCACTAACAGCTGTTCCTTGGGCAGTTCTTCTGATTTCTTCCCTCTCTTGCCTAGTGTGTCCTGCCCAAGCTCATTTCCTCTCATTTGCCTGGAATTACACCGGTGTTTCCTTTCCTGTGACCATACGTCCACTGCCCGGATGAAAATGACCATCCTCTTCTCCCTGCTGTGCCTTCCCTTTCATCCTAAATGTCCATCCTCCCTTTGTCCTTCAAGTCCTTAGTATAATCCTGGAGTTCATTGGCTCCATTCCCCAAATTTCAGTTGCTTATTCTGCATCCAGTCCCAATGGATAACCTCTCTTTAACCACTGCCCAAACAGGATTTCGAGGTCCCACACCTGACTTAATCTGCCACATCCAGCCAGGGCAGGTGGAGCTCTGGGTGTGTGATGATGAGGACCGTGGGGAAATGTTGAGGTCGGAGGACCTGCTGCCGGGTGAGTTGTGGCTGTCCCCTCCACCCAACTCCCCTCTCACCGATGCTCCATGCCCAGGGTGAAAAGGAGCCTGGAAACTGCAGATCTGCCCTGTGCTGCCATCCCTGGGTGCTGGCCTCAAATAGCTTATGCTGTCCTGTGTGCAGGCAGGTGTTGTTCCACTCCTGAAATTCAAACTGTGCAAACTGTTACCAACAGGTTTCTTTTTGCCAAAAACCCCCAGTGTTTGACATGGCCCCTTGTCTGATTTAATATCAAGTACACTTTAATAGTAATTATTACAAGTTTCGTCCCTGTAATACAACCCAACAAGTGGCTCCCTTAGACATTACAGCAGCGTTTGGTGGTACCGGCCTCGTGTCCTCCGCTGGGTGTAGGAGATGTTTGTTTCTGGCTTTCCCACTATTCAAGTAGACACAACACCCCGTTCTTTTGTTTGTCCATTACTTAAATAACTTTCTCATGCCAAATTGCCTAATCCTCAAGTTCCTTACCAACCCAACAGTTTTTTGCCAGCGATAATTATGGGTAAGTTTTTTAAGCTCTTCCAGTACTCAAATTATGGTTTTCTTTAATATTTAAGATGGCTGGTTAGATCAGAGAAACATCCCATGATCAGAGCTTTTGGTGTCCAGACATGTTCTCGGGAATTCTGCCCCTTCTATACAATGGGCTGCGCTTTCCTTGTCATTTCAAATGGATTGCTTGTGCCGTTGGAGCACTACCAGTGCCCCTCTGCCCTGCAAGATGCTGGAGAAATGCTAAGGGTCAAAAGAAAACCAACAAAATGATGACAATAAAAACAAATGGTCAATCCACCCTTCTCGATCTTTGGCATGACTGATATTTTTGAGGCCCTGGAGGCCATACTCCAGGGATGTACCCTTTTCTGTAGCCACTTTGCAGATATTCCAGCACCCATCCAGACGTTCTGCTTACATCTCCTTGTCTAGCATAGTTAACATCACAATCACTTACAGCAGTAACGGTACACAAACACGGCTGAGCAAGCAAGACAATTACTATGCATAATACAATGAAGCTTGAATCTTCTTTGTCCCAAGTGAACTTTTTGATGATTCACTGCTGGTCCACATCCTGGAAAACACAATGACAAAAAGGGAAGGGCTTAACCCCCTTTAAGTTAGTTCATGTCATGGGATCACTTTTGACACTGTGGCTGGCTTGAGCCCTGGCCCTGGCCCTGCTGGAGCTCCTTCACACATTCCCCTCTGCAGTTTGAGAGGCTGCTTTCTTAGCAATCTTTTCTGCTTCAAGTGACAGCTGCTGTAAGGTCTACCCTGCCACACCTCTTCCCTCCTTGGCTTTCACCAGGGATTTTTCTGCTGGGGTAGGCTCCCCCTATCGTTTTCCCAGCAAAGAGTAACCCACAAGGCAGTGGGAGCCAAGGTTTCAGGTGCTCTACACTCGCCTTTCTCAGGGGTGGCAACATGTGGCATTTTGTAGAGGCTGACCTGCCACAAGTAGCCCCACCACACTAACCAGTCCCAGGAGGGTGTAGTTTTAAGGACTTGCCCAGGACTAATCTTTAGGCTCTTCTGCCCTGGCTATCTTCACCCCTCGTGGGCACAGTCTCTCCCTTCTGGGCACACCTACTGGGGAGACTGGGGGGTCCACACTTACCTGGGGCAGGTGTGATGTAATGGGGCAGAGGGTGCTATACCGCCATTTTCCAGCAGGGGGTGCTGTGGGGGTGCCTGTGCTCACCTGGGGCAGGTGTGGGGTGGGCTGTCACGGCGTAGGGGGATGGGTGGACCCCCATATCTTCCTCTCTCTCCTTCTCCTTGCACTCCCCAGCCCTGTGCCCAAAAAAGCCCAAGCCCACCCGGTGACCACCGTCCCTGCAGCCCCGGGGGATCTCCAGGGGGCTCGACTCCGTCCCAGGGATTCCTCCTGAGCACCAGCATGGATCTGAGACCCCTGGTCAGACCAGGATAGACTGGGGAGCTTTGCCTGCCTTTATAGTGTGATCCCGACATCTGCCTGGGATCCCTGGGGTGTAGATTAACAACCTGTCGCAGCATCCAGAGGATGAGCACCGTGGCCCCCTGCTTTTCCTGGGGCAGGATCAGGTGCGATGTCTGCTGCGGTGTCAGGCTTGTGCAGTTTGGCTAAGAAGTTGGATGCTGGGTTTGTCTGGGCTGGTTTGGACAGGGCTGATGCTGACTCAGGCGGCGGCTGGACTGGAGGTGACCTCTGCAGGCCCCCTCAGCCCCTCTCTTCTAGGATTTCCATGATGCGAACGTTCCATGATGAGAACGACCCCTAGAGCCGCGGCTCCCAACCTTTTTAGACTGTGAACTGGCAAACCGCGGACCGAAAGCAGATCCTTTCATAGATGTAATTGCATGGACATTAGGGCTGGAAGGGACCTCGTAAGACCACCAGGTCCAGCCCCCTGCCCCGGGGCAGGAAGTCAGCCAGGGGCAAAGGATCCCAGCAAGAGAAATGTTTCTTGAAAGTGTCCAGAGTAGGTGATTGCACCACCTCTGGGGGAGCCTATTCCAGGCCTTGGGGGCTCGGATAGTGAAGAAGTTTTTCCTTATGCCACCCTAAAGCAGTCTTGCAGGAGTTTGTGACCATCGGACCTTGTCATCCCCTGGGGTAACAGCAGTGAGCGGGGAGCTCCCACAGGCAGCCACAGTGGTGTTGGCAGTGGGGGGTGAGAGGGAATGAACATTGACTGGTGGTTGGCAGCAGTGGTGGTGGCCAGCGGTGATCAGGGGCTGCCTGCAGATGCCTCCAGCAGTGTCGGTGGCAAGGGAGGGGGCGGAGGGTGGCAAGCAGCAACAGCACGCACCCAGCATGCACCCTGCATGCACTGCTAGCAGCGTCAGCAGCGCTTTTCACAGGGGGTGCACCGCCAATCTCAGAGTCCCATAGCTTTCCGCCTCTCTTCATAAGGCCTGTTCTCTGCCCTCAGATCATGCATGTGGCTCTCCTCTTTCCAAGTTTCTCCATGTCCTTCCTAAACTGTGGACCCCAGAATTGGATGCGCTACTCCAGCTGCAGCCTCACCAAGGCCAAGTGCAGCTAGGGTATGACTTCTTGGGTCTTGCTTGAGACGCATTGGTAGATGGAAGCCAGAGTTTTATTTGCTTTGCTGGCTGTGGTATCACATTGGTGGCTCATGTGCGTCTTGTGGTCAATCATGATCCCCAAGTCTCTTTCGGTCATGGTGCTAGTGCGTGTAGCATTGCTGAGCCTATAAGTGTGATGCGGGTTTTTATTCCCGAGGTGGAACACCTTGCATTTGTCCATTTTAAATGCCATCAGGTTTTCCTCCGCCCACCTTGCAAGACTGTCAAGATCAGCCTGGATCACCAGCCTATCCTCGAGTGCAGACACGCTTCCCCAATGTTTGGTGTTGTCAGCAAACTTGGCCAGTGCACTTTTGACACCAGTGTCCAGATTCGTCTATGAAGACATTAAAGAGTACAGGTCCGAGAACGGCACCTTGGGGGACGCCAACCTGAGCAGACCTGGTCTCGTTAGTCTCTGCTCATAGGGAAGACCCTCCGTACCGTTGTCTCTGGACCTGCTCCAGTTCCCCTAGATCCTGCTGGACGTGCAGGGACCAGACCTGAGCACAGGATTCGAGGTGTGGGCGCACCATGGGTTCATAAAGGGGCATCGTGATGCTTTCGATCTTGTTCACAATTCCCTTCCTCATCAGCCCTCACATTTTCCCTTGTTTTCTTCACGGTGGCTGGGCATGGAGCTGATGCTCTTATTGACCTGCTCCAGTTCCCCTAGATCCTGCTGGACGTGCAGGGACCAGACCTGAGCACAGGATTCGAGGTGTGGGCGCACCATGGGTTCATAAAGGGGCATCGTGATGCTTTCGATCTTGTTCACAATTCCCTTCCTCATCAGCCCTCACATTTTCCCTTGTTTTCTTCACGGTGGCTGGGCATGGAGCTGATGCTCTTATTGAACTCTCCACAATCACTCCCAGGTCTCTTTCCTGTGTGGTAACAGTTCACGTGGAGCCCGTCGTGGTGTCAGTCCCATTTATACAATTCACTTTCAAATGTGTTCCTGGCCCATTCCACTCAGATCATGATCCCGTGGCCAATAGAGTAGGGAAACTGAGTCGTGGGCGACCAGTGTAAAACCCCACACTTGGGAGGGAATAATTGCACTCACCAATCCCGCCCGAGGAACGCATAGCCAGGTTGTAGCCCTGCAGAGATGACGTGAGGGGAACCAGGGGCCATGGGCTGGATCCGAGCCAGCCGGGTGCTTTGGTGGTAAAAGAAATCAGCATCCTCGGAGGTACACGGTCCCACTAGGGGGATGCCTTACTGGACCTGGTATTGGCAACGGGGGATGACATGGTAGGGGACCTACAGATCGGTAGCCATCTGGGGGACAGTGATCACCAAATAATAGAATTCACCATCAGACGTCGAGTGGGTAAGGTAACTAGTAGGGTGAAAGTGCTAGACTTTAGGAAAGCTGATTTCAATGAACTCAGG